TATGTACTGTTATCAGTATAGAGAAATTATTTCTTATTCAAGTGTATGGCTCATTCTAAAACACTACACAAAAAGGACGATACAAAATGATAAATACAATAACAAACAGTACGTTACAAAAACCAGGGCAAATTACAATCAATTCGTTTTATTATTTTAATTATAAATTACAAAATGGTACAGTATAATATTTGGCTTGTACCGGTACAGTGTCGTAGAAGGAATAATTTGTAAAAAAATGTGTTTTTGAAATGAACTTTATTATTATTATTATTATTATTATTATATGTGTATGGCATCTTTCCGTCTGCGGGAGACGATAGATTATCTTTAGTGCTTGCAGCTCTTGGTGTGGCTGGTGAGACCAATCCTCAAATGGCAGTCTCTGTTACATTTCCCACACACGAATGGGGTGGAGCAGTATTTACCGGCCTTCCTCCTCGCTCTTTTTGCAGCTGCTTCCGCCCTGTTTTGATCCTCGGCATGTAGTGATCCTGCCTTCACGATGCCCCGCCATGAGGATCGATCCTCTGCCAGCTCCTCCCAGTTTGAGATGTCGGCCGACTTCATGTCTCTTTTGCATTTATCTAAGTATCTCAGACGAGGCCATCCAACTGACCTTGTCCAGTCGCCAGCTCGCTGTATAGCACGTCCTTTGGTATGCGACCAGGTTGCATTCGCTTGACGTGTCCAAGCCAGCGGAGGCGTCTTTGGATTAACATGGCTGGGACGCTACACATGTTTGTTTAAGACAGGACATCCGTGTTGGGGACTTTTTTCTTGCCATTTAATGTCAAGGATGTGGCGCAGGCATCTGAGGTGGAAGCCATTGAGCCTTCTTTCGTGTTTAGAGTATGTGGTCCACGACTCGCATCCATACAGGAGTGTGCTAAGTACGCAGCCCTGGTACACCTGCAGCTTAGTTCTTGTTGTGAGTTTGGCATTTGACCAGACTTTTTTTTTCAGTCTGGTCATAACAGTTGCGGCCTTCCTTATCCTCTCACTTATCTCATCCTCCATTGAGAGGATGCTCGACATGTTGGATCCCAGATAAGTGAATCTGTCAACAGTATGCAAGTCTTAGTCGTCGATGGCGATAGTGGGGAGGGAGTCAGCACCCTGTGCCATAATGTAAGTTTTCTTTAGGCTAATTGTCAGGCCAAACTCTTTCAGGCAGCGGATAGGCTGGATACGAGGCTCTGCAGGCCGTCAGCGGTGTGAGATACCAAAGCAGCATCGTCCGCAAACAAGAACTCCCGCAGCAAGACCTTCTTGTTTTAGTCTTAGCTCTAAGGCGGGCAATGTTGAATAATTTGCCGTCATCTCTAGTGTGGATGTATATCCCCTAGCTGTTGTTCTTAAAGGCATACTGGGGTAAGATGGAGAAAAAGATTGCAAATAAAGTAGGAGCCAGCACGCAACCTTGCTTTACTCCACTACTCACTGGAAAAGCTTCTGAGGCGGCACCGTTATAGCAATTTGTGCCCTGCATGTTTTCGTTGAACTGCTTGATGATGTTAAGCAGTCGTGTAGGGCAGCCTATCTTTTTGAGGATTTGAAACAGGCCGCTTCTGCTGACAAGATCAAAAGCCTTAGTGAGGTCGACGAACGCAATGTATAAAGGCATATGTTGCACTTCTCCTGCAGCTGGCGCAGAGAGAAGATCATGTCTATGGTTGACCTACCGGCGCGAAAACCACATTGCGATTCTAGGAGTACATGCGATGCTAGGTTCTGTAGGCGTGTTAATGCAACTCGGGCGAAAGTCTTTCGAACTATGCTGAGGAGGGTTATATAAACTTACCAAAAGAACTAATGAGGAGATTGTTTTAAAAAATTTCAAGATTTAACGATGTTATAAATTCCCTAAAATATGATATACCATTTTAAAAAAAAAAACATTTTTTAAAGTGGAATTTGAACATAATAATATTATTTAATATATGTAGCATAGACATTGTCACAATCACAATCTCGTTACAAATCATAACAAAGGCGAAGTTGTCCAAATAGTTACTAACATTTTATTATACAGAATAACAATAGAAGTTAATAAAAATTAGTTCCACACCTCATTCCGAACATATATATACTTGGCAGAAATATTATATTAATCTCACTATTTTAATCACTCGATTCTGGATCATCTTGAATTCTTAAACTTAATAATGTAATAACACGCTATAGACTGTTCTTTCTTCTCCAAACAAATTACATGACTCAAATGTCATATTATTCCACCTAATTTCTTCTTTCTTTCTTTGCTCTGAATAATTGGTAAATTTGTCTAAATCCCAAAAATCTGTATATTATTTAATTGATAACTCCCATAGCATTTTGAGAAAATATCCCGTGGGTCCAAGTGTTTCAAAGAAAAGAGTTTACGTTTCATTTTCTATAATATATGCAAGATTAAAACACTATTCCTACAGGCCGTCCCACACGTTACCTGCCAAATTTTAAAGAATATTCTTATAGACAGTCCGACAATGCACCGTTCGCCCTATAAACACTAAACCCAACAAACGTCGTGCACACTACCAGGCGGCCTTTAAACAATAGTCGTACAGACAGTCGAACGATATTCCCGTATATTTTTTTAATAACAATTTTTTTAAAAATATTATATTGATTTACACTGATTGGTTATTGTAGTCAGATGAAAACAGCTTTTTGGCATTAATAAATCATGAACATATTTATAACAAAATAATATTTCGATAAATTAATAAGTTACTTTTTACTGTATTCTTTATTAATTATAGTGCTTCTATTTGCTTTTTACACATAGTTTAAAATAGTAAAACACAAAAATCATTAATGAAATTTGAACTCTAACGAATATTACAAAGTAAGAACTTTTTAAAATGTTAAGAATCCCTGACTAAGGTTTTTGTTTATGTGATATCTTGTGATAGCGACGCTTTATGAAGTGCTTGTTTTTAGAAAGTTAATCTTAGTATTGCTTGTTTACGAGTCGGGGCTTGTTATTGAATTTACACGAAGGCCTTGGCTTCATGCCATTTCACATTGACATTTAAGATTAGAAACTGGGAAAGGGGAAGTTAAATGTTTCTCAGTTTAAGTCTTATTTATGGGGAATGTAAAGGATGAGATTATTTATTTTTGTTCCTTTAACTCACTATTGCTTAAAGTGACTGATCATGAAGATGGCTTTTCTTAAATTGGCAATTGAAATAAATCAGAAATTTCTGAAACTTCGTTAAATTTCTCCCATTTTTCCATCTTAACCCTAACATACTGTAGTACATTATTAAAACAAAGTACGTGAAAATAATGTAAATGTTTTCTATTGTTAATGTAGCAGAGCATACAACACGTATGCTCTTCAAGAAAGAGCAATAGATCTTTATCGTGACAAGTCAATGTAATCTAGAATTATCAGATTTCTTAACATTGGTAAACTGTGCATGACCATAGCTTGTAGCTCAAAGTTGGTTTCTGAAATATTGTAAAAAGCCCTTCATCCCAAACCATTTTTTAAAAATGTGATAAAATATTGAGAGCATTCACTACAATATTATTAAGTAGCTTAAGACTGCTTCCCCTCATGAACATTTATTTTACTTTATTTGGCTCACTTTTTTTTTTTTAAATGAACCGTTCCGAAAAATATGTTACAACGGGATGAATGCGTCTTGTGTAGATTTATAGAAGGACATATTAAAAACTGAAAACATCTTTGCGTTGGAAAGGGTGAAACTTAGAATAAATGTTTTCTATAGATATAAGAAAATATAAGCCATCCTTTTTCCCTAAACAATATGTATCAATATTCATAAATGTTAAAGACTTGACATACATATTCGGATTTTTCTTTCCCAATAAGATTTGTGTGTTTTACTATTTTATGTTAATGCAGGTAAGGAGCAAGGAAATGGGGTTAATATATTTTTATGATGATATCAATATCTTAAATAAAACCTTTTTACTATAGAAATATATGACTTTTAAAATTATTTATTATAAAATATTCGACACGTACAGATACGGGGCTAAGCAACATATTGAATACCTTATATAGATAAAACCAATTGGGTTGGTACATTTTTATTAAGATAGCAATATCTTAGAAGAGACATTTTTAATAAGGAAGTATATGACTCTTATCATTTTTATAAAATATACTACATGCGCAGAGAAGGGGCTAAGCGAAATATTAAACGCATTGTATAGACAATACCAAAGGCATATGCAAAGATAAGGTGCTCAGCAAAAGTATGGGTACATTTTATAGACGATACCATTTTTTCAAGGCCAATGACGAAACCAACGAATATATTCGTATATGAGCTTGCAGTTCAGTTCGTCAACAGACATTTAAAAGACAATCATTTCCTAGTGAGTGAAAATACAAAATTCACATTAACGTATATTTGGAATTAAAAAGTCATAAAAATACTCATTTCAGGGCTGGGGACTACCTTTAATATGTTTCAGATAAGCTATATGATGACGTGTCTTTCAATAAACTGGCATGTAACCTCATATATATATACTACTTTAAAAAATAATGAATTTTCTAATTTACAATTTTCAAATATGCAATTTAAAAAACGCGGAAGATGATTCTGACATTTTTTCACAAATCAATATAAAAACACCCGATTAAGCTAAAGGAGTGATAAGTCATATGTAGACGATTTGTTTCAGTGTTATAATGTATTAGAAACTTTACAATTTATAAAGCTTTGAAAGGCCTCTAAATATATTGTAGATAGTAGAAAAGCCTATGCTTCCAAAAAACCCGGGAACACACCCACACTTATACATGACATTGGCATCCAGAACTCCCATAATTGTGCTGGACAATTTACTTCCGTGATCCCCTTATCTACATTGTCTTCTTAAAAAAACACACATAACCTTTCTTCAGGGCTTACGATAAGATATGTACCTGACATTTTTTAGTAACTATGAAGATTATTAAAAGTAATCGATGCAACGTTAGAAAATAATAATGTATTCGATTAATTTATGTGTGGTTGTGTGCGTGTGTGTATTTATCTATTTGTAACAGTAACACATTTGCAATTTTGGTGGATTCGCATGCGGCTGTCTGGGTAAAAGAAATGCTTTTTTTTTAAATTTAGGGTATGTTTTAACAAATTGAAATTTCGCAAACACTTATTCAAATATATGTTCTACATTTCGGTAAAATGCAAAAAGAAATATTTCTTCAGATGTTTACAATTTCAACAGACACATTATTTTGTTTAGTTGTTGTTATTTTAGATTAAAAAATGTATTTAGGTAAAATAAAAGTAATTATTAAGTAAAATGTGCGCATTCAATTTTTTTATTTTAGATCGATCTCTCAAAAAAAAAATTGATTAAAACAATTTTAGTGTAGAAGCTATAGGCGAAATTGTTGGGAAAGAATATTATGATGTGTGTTTACGAGTTTTAATTAGTTTGATAACTCTCTTCCCTCATTTGACTTGGTGACGTATTTTATTATCATTAACGTATTGTCTAGTTTGTATTGTGACGTACACCCGCGGCACCGGTTGGCAATCCTGTATTAGCTTGACGATTAGGAGGTGTCGGACACAGGATTCCCCCCAATTTACCCTGGAAACAGGACCACTATTGCGTGTCGCACGTGGGCAGATAAGGGACATTTATGGTACTTGCCAGAAAAAAAACAGCACCTACAGGTCTGCAATTGTAACACTTTACAACTGGAAGTAAAGGCAGAGACAGGGCAGGGAATATTATTATAAATTGACGCTAATAGATATGAGGCACGAGGCTAAGTTGGAAGCTTCTAGCTGATGATTCTAAATATGCAGCCCTAAGAAAGTTGAGAGAAACGGACACGGTGGAGGAACTAGTTCATGAGATGGGCAGATACAGATGGGACATAATAGGTCTGTGACGAAATGAGATGGAAAAACTTTGGAGAAATATCGACTCAATAGGGCCACATACTGTATTTTAGTGGACGGAAGGACACACACGAAAAGGGAGTTGGATTCCTCGTCCACAAAAACATTAAGAACAGTATTATGAGCTGTCGACCGGTTTCGAGCCGACTCATCACTTTTCGATTAAGGGCAACACCGTTCAACATCACCATCGTGCAGACGTATGCACCAACTACAGATTATAATGACGAAGATGTGGACGACTTCTACAAACAACTACAGGATGTGCAAAACCAAAAACCCAAGAAGAAAGTTCCTGTTTTTCAAGTTGATTGGAATGCCAAAATAGGAGAAGTTGGCTATGAAAATGGGATAGGGATGTACGGACGCCACTGTAACGCAACTTCAAACGAGAGAGGTCAGAGGCTCTTGGAATTTGACGGCATCAACAAAAACATGTCAACACATTGGGTGCACATAAAACGTCCAGGAAAACGAAACGGCACAGCCCAAATGGGCCACCATGAGGCACAACAACATCAACAAAAACCTCACAAATATGATATGCAACCTCTATGATAAGGCCACCAGTTCAGTCTTCCTCAACAACAACATCGGAGAATGGTTCAAGACCACGGCTGGAGTACAAGGCTGCTTGCTCTCCCCCACCCTGTTCAACATCTTCCTAGTGAGAATTATGTCAGATGCTCTGGAACCGCAGGAAGGGACAGTCAGCATTGGTGGCAGATCAATCACTAACCTCCACTTTTCGGACGACATAGTCGGACTGGCTAGGAACGAAACGAAACAGCTATCCTGGTAAAGCGTCTCGATTAGACCTCATCGTCTTACGACATGCTAATCAGTGCTGAAAAGACAAAACTGATGAGAAAAAAAAACACAGGCATCACCAGTGAACTTAAGGTCGGGGAGAAAAGACAAGAGACTATAGGCTGCTTCAAATACCTAGAAGCAATAGTCTCAGAAGAAGGCTCCAAGCCCAAACTGATGTCAAGATTGCGCAGACTAAAACAGCACTAAAGAGGCTCAAGAAAAGATGGAATGACACAAATATAGCCCCCATTACAAAAATGAGGCTGATGTGCTCATTGGTCCTCTGCATTTTCCTGTATGCCTGCGAATCCTGGACATTAGCTACCAATTTTGAAAGGAAAAAAAATGCGATGGAGATGAGATGCTTCAGAAACAATTTTGGCATATGCTATAGGGACCATATCTCCAATGATAGAGTGAAAAAAAAAGGTTTGCCAGGCAAGTGGGGATTACGTTGACCTAGTGGTAACTGTGAAAAGACCCAAACTACATTGGTACGGCCACGTGACAAGGAAATAAGGGTTTGCCAAAGAAATATTGCCGGGCACCACAAGAGGAGGAAGAAGAAGAGGAAGACAAAGAAAAAGAATGGAAGAAAATATCAAAGAGTGGACAGGAATAACACTGGGCGATGATGTGCGTGGCGCAGAAGATAGAGGCGAATGGAGGAGGATAGTTCACATGTCATCTGTGGTGCCCCAACGGTCCAAGCACTGGGACATATTGAGGATGATGACGAAGAAAGCTACTCCTAATCAAAAGCTACTTCTCAAACTAGTTGCGGGGTGAAACTCCTCTGTAGAACCCATTTAAATGTTGTCCGTCTGTTCCCCGGATGGATGAGTAGGATATGATTGACGTTAGAGTATCATCATGACTCCCTGGGAGAGTCGGCTGCGAATGCTTTAAAGGCATCAGTTTCGGTCGACTGGACATCCCCGAGGGGGTGAACCTCCATCTATAAATCTGATTGAGTGGGAATTGGTTGGCCTGATCAGGACGGTGGAGGAGGCCCCCGCACGGTCCAGCATCGGGGACAACAGGCGTTTGACTGTGCGGATGTGTATGGGGGGAATTAATTGCTCACGCTTGAACGCCCCCCGACGCAATTTCACAATGTTACATATTTAGTATTTGGACGTTTTGTTTTTTTTGTCTGGCAGTCGTTAATGGCACTTTGTTAAAGAAGACACATTATCACATAGGGATCGGTATCCCTATGGTGTCACGATCCCAATTGGATTCAAGATTCCAAATGGTGTTGGGATAACAATGAGGTGGGATAGGGATAGTACTAGGATTGAAATAACGAGTGGATCGGAAACAAAAAGTATTGGAATTCCACCAGTGTCGGTATCCCTACGGGGTGGAGATCCCTCTGAATAAGGGAATAACATCAGAAAATTGGATCCCATCAGAAACGGGATACGTAGGAATTTTTCTGGGATATGAACATTTTTACAAAAGCAATTATACATTTGTTTTTTTCTAAGAACAAAATTATTTCTTTTCATTTTTTACAATAGTTGTGTTTTCCGTTTACTGGAGCTAAATTTAAATGTTAATTAACAGGCTGCAGAAGTTTTGTTTTTCCGAATGCAATCCCTTGCAACGCCGGATATATTAACTAGTATGTATACATATATATATATATAAATGTATAAATATATATATGCATATTATATACATACACAAATATTCAATTATATTTATTTATATATATATATAGAGATAGATAGATAGATAAATAGATAGATAGATAGCTAGATAGACAGACAGACAGACAGACAGACAGACAGACAGACAGACAGACAGACAGACAGATAGATAGACAGATAGATAGATAGATAGATAGATAGATAGATAGATAGATAGATAGATAGATAGATAGACAGATAGATAGATAGATAGATAGATAGATAGATAGATAGATAGATAGATAGATAGATAGATAGATAGATAGATAGATAGATAGATAGATAGATAGATAGATAGATAGATAGATAGATAGATAGATAGATAGATAGATAGATAGATAGACAGACAGACATATCGGTTTTTAAAAATAATGATATCACTGCTCGACATTGGTATCGTACTATTCATTTAGGTTTTTTTTAAATTGCATCATACGGCATAAGACAATTGTTTAAAAAATTTTAGTCAAGTGTCAAAGTATCGAGAAGCATTAATATTATCATTACAATTAAGAACAAATGTTAGTAAAAAATTGTTGCAAGGTTTTGTGGAAGATAGCTTTGAGCATCTGGGACCGGATTGATAGTGCTTAATATAATTGTGTTCGTATGTATCATGGAAGTTTTTCATACATTTATCTTAATAAAATCACATGTAAATCAAAGTCCCCCACCCCCTAAAAAAATGGAGGGAAAAAATGCTAGCTTCTTCTGCAATAAATGTAATTTATTTAATTAATATTTTAAAATGCAACATTGTTAAATGTACTAATTTGAACTGCACAATCGTAGTTTCCCATAAGCGAGAAACATAAAACTGTTTCTTTTCAGAGATGACGCCAATAAGTTTAGGTTTTAGTCTTTATCATAGAAATTATGTAGACGTATTTATCAAATTAGACTGCTCTTCAGAAATATCTTAAGTACTTTAAGTAGGAGAACTGTTAAAAATTTAAACAATAGGCTGAATCTTCTTTATTTTATTGGGAAGTAGACGGTATAATAATTTTTTCACACACATGCTGAACTATGTTAGGAGTAATTTTAGAAATGGATAACGAAATTAATAATGAAGGGCCATGTGTACCTAATTTGTGAGCCGTATAATGCGGTCCACTGCTTAAGAAGAATGAGTCTAAAACAGAAAGAGCAAAGTGAGTCAGGGCTATTCATACAAGCAAGGCAATAACCAGGACCAAAGCATTCACATCAATCAATATTTTCCTGATCATAAATTTAAATATTAGAATTAATTTAAAAACATTTCAGATACTTTGAGTTAAAAGTCAAAGAAGACCATTTGCATTTTGTCTAGTTTTTTCCCCTTTACATTAAACTGATCAAAAGTCATTTCTTAACTTAAAATTCTCTTTACAAAAACTAGCTAACAGTTTTTTTTTTTGTTTTTTTTTTCAAAAGTAAAGAGAACGCAAAATGTACAAACCAACTTTAACTATCACCGGATGTGTAACTACAGTAATCTATCTTTATATCTTCAGTTGTAGTACAGGTAAGTACGCTTTGATCTGATTAAGTATATCTACATTTTAAAGTATCGTGAATATTGTGCACATCCTACTATAATTAAATGTATATGAAAACATTTATGGATAAATAACATAATCATTCAAATTAGAGTTAGGACGATAATTATTTTATTTAAAGTTAAAATCAGGGCGTGGAATCGATCATCACATTTGCTAAAGGACATTGATTGTATACTGTTTATATCCAATAAAAACTTTTTACTATAGTTGATAATTGAAAACTTGAACGAGATTTTGCAAAAAAATGTATATCATACTCATCACAATTTACAATTATATTTTTTTTTCCTTGTGCTTGTGTTTGTATAAACATACATCTTGAACTCATGGACTTAGGAATTTCAGGATAAGGAACCTACAGTTAATAGCGTTAAAAAACTCAAACATATTAATTATTAAATAGTATTATTGGTAATCTCTTATTTGTTAATATTCTCAGTTTGAATTTTTCTTTTTAGCTAACAAATTATATCGGTCTGTTTTTGAATAATCAGAAATCCAAAATATGGCGATGTGTTAATGATTTTTAGCATTTAATATAATTTCATAATAATCTGTTCATAGGCTTAATATCATCTATTTTATTTTCATATTTTTATGGAGTCCAGACTCCTCACATTACGAACTAGATCTATTCACGACTTGATGCCGTTTGATTTGTATGCCATTGTTACAATATAATTATTTTCATGCAATTTTTACTCTTGTCTTGTTTACAAGACCTATTCATTTTTAAAAAAAAATGGTTTTCTAACAAACATACAGTTTTCCGAATCACGGTTATATATATATATATATATATATATAAATAATATAAATATAATAAAAATAATAATAAAGATTATTTAAAAATCGCCTTTCATCCCCAAAAGCTCGAAGCGCGGTATATATCACACTGAAGTACAAAATTCAACATTACAAAAGTACATACAAGAATACCCATTTTAAAATCCATTTTGACACAGGCAAAATATACACTTATGCACAATATTTTAAAATTCCGGAAAATATGTGGTCTACATTACTGCAACCAGTTAGACCGGAGGGGCAACAGAAGTCTTTGTGTCCTTGAACGCGAAAAAGCGCGGGAACTATAACCTTATGAAATCTTTAATAATTACGGCTTATGAATGTGTCCCTGAAGCCTACCGTAAAAAGTTTAGGGAGCTGTGGAAACGTGATGGCCAGACTCATGTTGAGTTCCTCCGGGAAAAGAAACGGCTCCATGGACAAGTGGCTGCACGCAACCAACACTAAGACAGACTTCAAAAAGTTTAAGAACCTCATTCTGATGGAGGAGTTTCAGGAATTGTGTTCGTACTGAGGTGCTAATAAATATTGAAGACCTTGGTGAAGGTGACGCACATGAGGCAGCAGTGTTAGCTGATGACTTCACTTTATCACATCAACTCTCAAAGAACCCATCTGACACCAAACTGACAAGCACAATAAGACAACAAAATCAACTTACAGTAAAATCCACAAAAATTATGCAAGACTTTTACAAAAGAAACACATGCAAAAGACACATGTGCCCACTGTAAAAAAGAAGGGCATACGAGGGATGAGTGCTGAAACTTCAAGAAGAAACATGAGAAGACCACACATACTGGTACACAACACAAAGTGTCCGTTTGTACGTCTCGTCATTTATCTGGAAACACATTTTCAAAATTCAAAAGTTGCTGCTCTCCAGATGTCCATACAAACTTCATAGATATTTGTCACGACTCATCAAAGAGTTTCAATATGAACAATAAGGCTAGTTTTACTGACTCCAGCCAAGTTCCTGCTTCGACTGCAAGTTGTATGAACTTGTTGCCAAGATTCTTTTGCTCCAAGAAGAGGTCTACCTTCAGAGGATGTCTTAATAAGGACTTGTGTACAAGTTTTGATGACCCTACCCAGAGTTTTACTTCCTCTACCCTAGCCGAATCTTCTCAAGACTCCAACACGAGTTCAACTACCAAGATCCAAACTTTTACACCATAAAATACTGATGACATACAAGACGTCCTGTTTTTCATATCGGAAGGATTCGTATCACTGCAAGATGATTTTTACAGTCTACGAAAAATCAAAATCTTAATAGATACAGGTGCTTTGCAGTCCTTGCTACTTCATGGTATACTTCCCTCGTCTGAATCTACCGCTACTGGGAGCAACATCCTCTTACGAGGTGTAGAGTTGGGATGCATAGATGTACCTTTACATCTCATCAGCCTCAAATCAGACTTAGTCTCCGGACCTGTGGTTGTGGGTGTCCGACCAAAATTACCATTGGACGTCATCTCGTTGCTGCTAGGCAATGACTTAGCTGGTGGGAAGGTAATAGCAGAAAGAATCGTGACTCATGCACCTTGTTTCACTGAATATAAGGAAGAAGATAAAGAAATGTATCCAGCATGTGCTTTAACAATATATATATTATATATATATATATATATAATTAATAATAATATTAAAATTGATCATTTTATTTTTTGTTGGTATTTTTTTCAATTTTATTTCTGAATAAAATAGTCATAAAAACCTATTTTAAACATTCAATATCTTATTACTAATCTACTCACAAAACCTGTAAATAGCAATGAAGCACGCACCAAAAAAAAAAAAAAAGAAACTTTAATTATTTTTTTTTATACGATTATTAAACATATTAATTATCTCAGCTATTTAAGTTATCTTCTTATAATTTAGGAGTATCGCTTAAGAATATTTTATAACCTACATTTTATTTTTTCGTCACTTAGTTCAAGGCCAATCAGTGACCCTAGATCAAACTTCTGTAGGAAGTGTTTCTACTTGTTCAAGTGGTCTAAGAGATGGACTGGACTTTTATATATTTAGAGGCATTGTTGATGCTACAACAGCAATGTTTTCAAACTTTATTGATTTTTCTATCATGACTGAATCTTCAAATAGTTTTCAATATGTAAGTAATTAAAAGAATTATTTCCTGTCTTGTATGATTTTACAAAGGGAAAATGTCTTAGTGGAAAATTTTACGTAAAAACAAAAGTAATGAAAAGAATAATAAATGTACAGTCCCAATGTATAATCTCAAGCAGTGTTTCTTTCAGCAACGGCGTAGCTATGAGGAAAGACGGGATGCGGACCGCTGCGTTTGACACCATCTCAGTTGTGATACTAATTGAAAAGTTCAATATTTAAAGAGTACATACTGCTTGGTAGATTCGCATTTCAGAAAAGGATAAACGATCACACGTAAATTTTCCTCATACTTATCCAATTTGTGCTTTACTAACTTTTATCGTTAAGGGTTCAACAATGAGGCGAACCTATAATAAGATCAGGAAAACATTGCTTTGACCACGATTCAATGCTGATCGAAGTGTGCGTTAACTTTCTTAAGTGACAGTAAGCTATATGTATCTAAATTCTGAGAAATAAGGCTATCCAGTGGTATTAAACGCAATGTTGTCGGGCGATTCTAACATAGTAGTTTTAATGTAAAAATATCTCTGACATCATATTGTAACAGCTCTTAAATAAGTGTACCTCCTGACGTATAATTAATTTGTTTTTATTATTTACATTGTTAGACTCTAGACTTATTTTTAAAAAAAGGCAATCCATCTAGGAAGTCGGAGGGGGGACGTCGGGAGTTTACTGCACTGGTTGACACCAAACCTAGCTACGCCATTGTCTTTAGGCATCAAAAATGTTTACAAAGATAAATCGAACATATAATTTATTTAAATAAACTACTAAATGTTCATTATTAAATCCTTTACACAAACTTATATTTTATTTAGTGCTAACTGCCTGTTTAGCAACATTTTCAGATAATGTATTGATCCTATTCCAATCACTATATTAAGCTGAATTTTTGCACATAGACACAATTCTATGACAACATATTTTATTAAATGTTCAGCCCACTGCCAAATATATGGCATCCTTCCATCTTCGCGAACAGGGATTTTGTTCAGCTGTAGATCGGGGGGGGGGGGGGTCGTAGTGCCCCCCGGGAAAAGCCAAGTGCATCCCCGGGGCTAAAATATGTCCAAAAATAAACCAACTGCCACTACTTGCACTCCCCCCTCCCAACCAAAAATTTGAGTTGTCCCCTCCCCCCCTGATCGGGGGGGGGGGTCGTAGTGCCCCCCGGGAAAAGCCAAGTGCATCCCCGGAGCTAAAATATGTCCAAAAATAAATCAACTGGCACTACTTGCACTGCCCCCTCCCAACTAAAAATTTGAGTTGTCCCCTGCCCCCCGTGGGAAAATTTCACGAGACGATGGTGTAGCTTTGTAGGAGACGGTGCTTCTTTCATCGTTATATGCGTTTATGTAGACTAATAGACAGTCCAAACTCTTAACAAAAGTATGATAGACGATCAACCAGCCCATGAAGATTCACACCAAACCAACCTCTAAAAATCGGGTTTTCCTGTTTTATCTATGGAAATGAAGCACATTATAATTTCAAGAAATAACATTCTCGACCACTGCGCTCATTAAAAAATTCTCTCAAGTCTATTTGAGGGGTAATATTTTCTTTCGTTTCGTCTGAAATAGTTTGTGATAAAAATAAGCGATTACAATATTAATATTGTTTGGGGGCGTGAGAAAAATGAGCGGTAACCAACCTAAGTAATGGGGACTACTAATGGAGATTCTTATAAAGTGTATTTATTTATGCATTTTTGTCGATTTTTCAATCCTATCCTGATTGCTTAATATTACATTGTAAAAGAATTTATACGAAATACTTTGTTTTAAGAGTTGTTTAATTAAAACTTAATAAAAATAATGCGAAACAAGAGAATCAATTTATTGATGACATATTCAATATATTGGATGAACCAAATATTTAAAACAAATCAAGGCACAGCAACCAATTCAAAATATATTTTTTTTAATACGCTGTCCAATCATTTTATTTTCAGACACGACGCTATTTCCCATTGTTCACATATTTAAAAAATGTTATGTATTCATTGTTTACAAACAGTAATTCTTTAAGGCATTTGTTCGTTTGGAGTAGAAAATGAACCTCTCACCAAACCAACATGAATACCCAGCAAGTCAGTTAAACTATTAAATGTTCTCTCTCATTAGGTACCTTTACAATCTGGCTGGTTGTTTAGTGAATAATATAGCAGTAATAATATGTTATAGATCATTGTATTCAGAATTGAATGATCTATTATTTGATACCATTTATGAGATCGCAGTTAATTTGTTTTTTTATTTATGGCCAAAAGTTTAAGATTTTAGTTTTGCTAAATTTTTAGAAAAACGTAAACATAACATAAACAGGTAGAAGCAAAAAAAGTTCAAATATTTTTTATATTCATTAATGGCATCCATTTGTACAACACATATACAAATTTCAAGCAATTTTACCATCATTTGTATTAATTATGCCACTTTATAATATTATATTATTATATTATTATAATACTTCCTTTTTTTTTTTAAAGTCCATTTTTAAATTTTTTTTTTTTTTTTTTTAAAAAAAGTTAAAGAAAACCAGGTAAGTACTTCATGATAGAAATACAATTACTATTAGCAAATAATATAAAGCAAGGTGAATAATGTTTACATGTTTTTATAAAAATTATAAAACATCGGGTAAAAATAACATATCAGTATGAAAAATAAAAACTAATTTTTTTCTTTTTTTAAAGTACATTTTTAAATTTTTTTTTTTTTTTTATTAAAAAAAGTTAAAGAAAACCAGGTAAGTACTTCATGATAGAAATACAATTACTATTAGCAAATAATATAAAGCAAGGTGAATAATGTTTACATGATTTTATAAAAATTATAACACATCGGGTAAAAATAACATATCAGTATGAAAAATGAAAACTACTTTTTTTCCAGAAACTCATTTATATAACAATGGCAGGATAAAATTTTCTCTCTATTTTATAAACATAATAAAGATGTTCACTTTACATTATATATTGACTGTAAATAACCATTGCAGTTTTAGCATGACATTGCTATTTTATAATCATTCATAGTGAAGTGGCAGAAACATGTACATTGTCAAAAAAATTTTGTCACTGCCTGATTAATTCTATTTAGGAACTAAAAAGAATCAAGCCATAAGATCTTTTTTTCATTTTTCAAGACAAGCATTTTGTTTTCTTCAGATTAAAAAAAATATGCCTATATACAATCCTAACACTTGAAAACTAAAATGAAAGAAGAATTCTCTTACCAGTCTTGGCCGCCGTTGTTTTCTTCTACTAATTATATTGTTGTTCACATTATTTGTATTTTTTCCAAGGCAGATATCTTTTATCCAATAAGTTTATCACGGTCCAATCAACCAGACACATTAGTTAAATTTAGCTTAGCTTACTATAACAGAACCATTTATATTGTTTAAATATTGAATCTGCCAGAGTCAATAGTTCATTTACCATTGTATTATTCATACTGATATTATGTTACATTTATGAAATCAGTATGTATTCTCTCCTGCTTATTTTGATTATTTATTATGCTTGATCCAGTAACATATTTGCATGCACTTACTTTTCATCAGGTACAGATGAAATTAACTGTACCTGCTGATCAGTAGTTTACTATGTTTTTTCTCATAGAAGCATACCATATAGTTATAGGTATGTATGTTGGCCTAAAACAAATTATGACTTCCATTATCCAGTAAATAAACACATTCATATCCAGCAACAGATCCCACAAATGGGGCTTTTACGTTCTAAGTCAAATGAATGTTAGAAAATATTGTTTATCAGCTGGAATGTCCAGTATTAAAATCGAGTAGGCTTAGTTGCCATAATATTGCAGCTGTAATTAGTGTTTACATTTACAAACAACTCCGGCCTTGTTGATGTTAACTGAATTTGAAATGGGATAAAGGTCAATGTACTCCTTCTCTTGTCTTGTTTTAAACAGGTTTCAGTAATTAGCTCAGGTCATATGACAGGAATACCAGTGTCATGATGTTGGTTTGTCTAATATCCTAGTCAGCACTCTGATACTCTGAAACTATAATCAAATATAAGCATTACATATAGGCTTAGGTCGTATATTTAAAAAAAAAAACTGAACAAAACTAAATACATTATTCAATTAAAAATAATAAAAATTCTAAATTAAGAGACGTTTTTAATCCAGACTAAAATATAGACCTAAAATTCATCGCCTCTTCTAAGGGCATTCAATGTAAACAAAGGAAATTTCAAACAACTATGACTATGGAAAAAAAAATATAATAAAATATGTTGTTGATATACAGAAATAACAAATGTCTATAAATAAGCTTAAATAGTTAATTTCAATAATTATGATGTCCACTGTTACAGTAGATCAATGTAAACGTAGTTTTTTCTACTAATTCCACAAAAGTTGAGAGCGTTTTGACTCGCCGTAACAAAGAAAATAATCTTACCGTTGATAGCAAACATTCCATCTGGAGAAAATAAACAAAATCATCAGCAGTCATGTCTTTTTCTGTTTTTTATCGGACTATTGGCACGTTTAGACTTTAAATATAATCACCAACAAGGTTGGAAGATAAATTCGGAGACTATTAGTCACCCATCGCCAAACTTTTACAGCATTGGCAATATGGCCGACAAAAATCGCGTCATTGACAAAAAAGAAGCACGATGCTGGTGCTTTTTTTTAATTAAAAATCTAAATTTACACTTAAAATTGATATTTTTTAAAAATGTATCCAAAAAATTATATTTGCCCGTTAAAAGTAACTTTGGTAGGTAAAAATGTGCTTAAAAAATCAATGAAAAATCCATCACCCATCCGTGGGTGAATAGTCCAGACATCGTACCTTGAGATTAAGTTCCTGAGAAAAAAAAAGTGTTTAAAAAAATAAGGACAATATTTTTAAACAAAACGAAAATTGTCATTTTTATTACAAAAATTGAACGTAAAAAATTTCAATTCAATCTTATAAAATGAGAGCAATGTTGGAAGCCAAAAATAATCTTTAACCAATGTATGTTTGATGTTATTTATATATTATATTTATACATTTTTATTTTGCAGCTTACCTAGGTTACATACTTCCAATATTTTGGAAAGTGTGTTCAGAAAAAATCAGAATTTAAAAAAAAAGCTTTACATTGCATGATATGTCACTATATGTTGAATTAATTCTTGTTAACTATGAAACATTGCCAATTTCGATTTGTTTCAAATATAAGATCAACACTTAAACTAGGACAATGTCTGAAATTTACATTGTCATCATGTTTAGCAAACATAGTAATTATTATTATTTTGTTACTTTTTTTTAAAAAAGTATAAAAGTTGTCATATATTATTATTCAACAAAACATTTTTTTTTGTGGTACAACTTAGGATATGTTTACTATGGTAATTATAATTGGTACAATTCTTTTTTTGTTTTTGACAATCCTCTTTTGTAAGGAAATAAATATTCATTTTACTTATTATTATTTCTTTTTAGTAATTAAGAATTTAAAAGAAATAAAGATTTTAAAATATATATTAAAACAAAAACACTATTTTGTAAACACTTAAATTATAGCATGTGTATACGCACATAAATGTTAAAGAAAAAATTGTTAGCTGTTTAGTTAACTGTTTAATGATGCTAAACTATATTGAGGTATACGCTTGCGTTGATTACTGTATTTTTATTTTATCAAAATGTCTTTGGGACGACTATATCACCCACTCTCAGCCCCAACTCGCATTTGCCCGGGAGATTTCAACATACTTGATTTCAGTTTTTACTCATTTCCCATGACTATCAATGACCCAGTGTGGGTCGAAAATTAGTAAAATTTAAAAAAAAACAAAAAAACACTGGTGTGTGCCACAACTGGAGCAAATTCAAGTTATGCATGGAAACGTGTTTTTAATAAATAATTTGAGATCTCAAAGAAGCCCAGATTACATAAAATGTCCCCTCACTACATCAATTTTATTTTTTCTGAAAGAAACGCTGAATTTAGGTATACGCAAAGCTGCATCACTGATATTGAGTTTTAAAAAAAAAAATTACTGCTGAGAGATTTCGTCCCCCTTTTATTTTTTCAGTAGTCGTGCACGTCCTAACCTTCTTCCCACCTAACCTACTCAAAGTGACAAAGTCTGCACCTCTAACAATAAGTCACTGGATGTTAGTAATCAAGATCATTTTATTTAACATACAAATGCATTGGTTTCCGTTAACGTTTAATATATATTTGGACTATCTGATTGAAGTGATAAAACTTACTTTGAGCCTAAAGCATATCCTCAACAAAAACTGAATTTAGTTTATGTTGCGAGAAGGTGTAACATGTAAATGATCCTGGTCGCTTTTATGCTTAATTTTGTTCATTTCCAGAGATGTAGCTTGGGAATTTGCAATTCTGGGCGTGTGTATACTTTTGCAATCTCTTAACAACGATTTAACTCTGCAGCAATACTGAAATGCGAAATTTCATCAAAGGAAAAATATCCTCCTGTGGGACGACCGCCAATTGTGACCACCTATCATACTTCATTGACATTTCCCAACCAAACCTTCGAAATGTGATCCTTATTCCGCTGCCCCGAAAGATTATCAGGAAGAAATAAATGTTTAGATAATATACAATAATTAAATACTAAAACATTTTTTAAAAATTATTTTGTTTTTCTTTGACAGCATACATTTACCTCGAACGTCAATATTTTTTATTTTTTTGACCATACACGGGGAAGAATATTTTGAAAAGATTTGGCTTAAAAATTAATTTTTGAGTGTAAAGAAAGAATGAAATAAAACTTTAAAAAAATGGAAAATATGCTTTGACTTGTAAAGAATTGATGCACATCTATAAACTTTCATTATTTAATTGAATTAGTTTCAATATTTTAATGAAAAAGTTTATTCTTTTTAATACATGTTAAAAATATGTACTTCGTTAATACATCTTTCTCTATTTTTGCGGAGCCTTTATTTCTTTCTTTTTTTTTTTTTTTTTTTTCCTCCATTTTATACCCCTTTTTTTTTTTTTTTTTTTTAAATATGTACTTCGTTAATACATCTTTCTCTATTTTTGCGGAGCCTTTATTTCTTTCTTTTTTTTTTTTTTTGCTGCCTCCATTGTATACCCCTTTGACTGTTTTTTTTTTAAGACATGTTCAAGGGACAGTAAGTTAAACAGTATTTAACCCAAATTACGTTGAGAGTGAATTAGCAACCAAAAAAACAAACTTATAATACATAATTGTTTTCTATTATTTCAAATATTAACGTTGATTTAATTTGTTATAACGTGAGACACATTTTCTTTTTCAGTCTCCCCCCCCCAGTGTTTTAACATGTAAACATTAACTACATCTACGAACAATATCATAGGCTGACCTATGTCTGAAGAATACAGAACTTTTTTAAACGGCGATTTTTGATATATATTTTAAATCATTAATTGTAATTATATAAATAATTTCCAAATCGTAGTTATGGTAACTAAACAAATGTTTAGTAATTAGAAATGCTTAGCAGACTAATCAAAATGATGCAAATACCACATACATTTTCTAAACAAATATGCTTGTGGATATTTCTATGTAAAATAAATTATTTATTCAAACACTTTCCCAAGTTTTAGATGGTTAAAAATACTTTACAAATAAGATTACATCTGTTTCTATTTGTCAAGTTGTGTACTGTCAGTTTGTTTAGTTGTCTAACACCAAACCCTCAACCATGCTACTGTGCTGTACGGAAAGGGGATGTATATGAAATAGTTGCTAACAAAACAGCAACTCTCGCTTACAGTCGGGCTATGATCAGGATTCAGTGGCATAGTAGTTCTGGTGTTAGGATTGTTAGCAACCAACTACAACTACCTACAATATATGGTAAATATTAAATACATTCTTACTTTATTTTTAGAATATTTTTAAATATGTTATGAATTAATATGTTAATTTTTTTAAAACATTAATTCACCTTTTAAGTTGTATTTTTAAAAACAGTCTTATTTATTCCATACATCTTTCAGTTATTGTATCATTATTATTTTTTTTTTTTTGTTCAAAATTTTATTTTTAGCAATTAAATTAATCAAAGACTTAATTGTTGAGTAAAGTTAAGTAAGGATTTATATTACTCTTAAATATATGAACTTAATCTAATTGTTACCTTACGGTCTTTGATATTAATAGTCAACTTTATTTAAAGAGAACATTATCATTAGCTTAATCAGCACATTTTACACGTGGTATCTTTCGTTTGGTCGCACTCTTTCATTGTAAACTGGTTTTTTTTTTTATTTTGGATGTTTTCTTCTTTGCATTTAAATATGATGGGTTTTTTAAAAAATTTTAATACATATATATATATATATATATATATATATATCCTTTTTGAGAAATTCATCAAGCTGAGAATTATGTGACAGCATTTGTGAATATTGTTTTTTTATTTGTTAAATTAAAATGCTTGTATTTTTAATTTTTTTTTTTTTTTCTTGATACGTTTATAAAATAAATTGATCAATATTGACAAACTTAAAGATGCAGAAAATGAATTTTATATAAAAAGGGCAATGTCTTATCATTTTAATAAGGCAATGATTTTCTAGATTATCAATAAGACTTGTTAAACGTTCATTAGGATTTCGTCAAACTTGCATTGTTATATGTTTAGTGACAATTAAACAAAAAATAATTTCAACATATTTTATATACAATAAAGACAAAATGTAGAAACATTTTCTTATCAATTTTATTTTATTTATACTATTGGAACAGACCTAGCAAAAGTTTTCTTTCTTTCCCAGATGTAAATGCTGTGACAACCAGTGTGACAATAAATGATGCTTACATGTCATGTCCAACAACAGTTACCTTTGGATCAGTTTTCAAGTTTCAATGTCTAAATGCTCCAAGTCCTTGTGAAGTAACGATTTCTCTAAATGGAAAAGTGGTAGTAAAAAGTGAACACATTGCTACATACATAGTGCCTACCAATCTTACATTAAATTCGCGTCACAGTTTTACTTTTTCTTATTCGGTTTGTGGAGGACATGTAAAGTCTACCACATGCCAAATTACAATAGTAACAATTATTGGTTGAAAACATCTCTAATGCACAATGCAAATTGTTAAAAAAATTGCAATTTGATATGTGGAGTACTTTGCTAGCAGGAATAATATTATTATCTTAACAGTTTCAAGAATTCAATATTTAAAGGAGAGACTTATCTTAACAAAAGAGATGTGTTCATTTTTTTAAAGGATTTTTTTTTTCGATACAACTTTTTTTCATTATGATTTTATTCTCATAAAGTGTTATAAAATCTTTTAGGCTGCAAATCGCAAAGTGTGTTTGTCTATGAAATTCTATTTATAAAAGATTAATTGGGTTCAGGCAATTTAAACACATTTACGTATTACAATCATCAATAAAACATACGCTAAAAAGATATATGTACACAATTGTTTATAACATCCTGCTTTTGTTTGGCTTATTAGTGAAACTTTTCAGGAGAGTTATGGTTTAGTGTTTTTTTCTATTTTGCTACTAAGTAAAGTTAAGTTATATGTTTACTTTAACTATTGGTAATTGTGTCATTTATTATAGCTCTTGTATTTCTTTTGAGATGACTTTTTCTGGTTTTGTAATTAAATAAAAAAGATATGTAGTTATTTAGTGAAAAATATAGTTTTATAAAGAAAGGTAAATAATCTAATTGTTTTAAATCATAACAGACAATTTTTTAATAACTTAATTTTTTAGCTTCTGTTTGTTTTCCCATGATGATTGTATACAAACTTACTATTCAGAAATAAATATAACTTAATTAGTTTTTAAATCTTTTATTTAAAGTTATTTTTTTTTAGAATAGAATAATTATTCCTCATTTTTTTTTAATAATTATGTTATAGATACTTATATATTATATATATATATATTTTTTTTTTAAAACACACAATTTTGAGATATCTTTAAAAACCATCGCTTCCTTTTAATTTTAGAATAAATTATTATAATAATTTTTTTAACCTTAGTTTGTGTGGACAAGTCATATCAAGTGACTTTTGTCAAACATTGAAGACTACAAACCTCAGACAGCGCAGAGCCGTTCTTAGGAGTTTGGGGGCCTTAAGCATGGAGCGTATGTTTGGGGCCCCGGAAGGGGGGGGGGGGGGCCGTGAGTGGAGCTCCCTCCAGCTGAGGAGAAAACACCACACACCATAGGGGTTTGGGGGCCTTAAGCATGGGGGGTATGTTTGGGGCCCCGGAAGGGGGGGGGGGGTCCGTGAGTGGAGCTCCCTCCAGCTGAGGAGAAAACACCACACACCACTGCGGCACCTTCATTCTGCCTTCATCATTGTTTCCCCTTTCCCATTCCCCCGGCCAAGCCCCCCATTTTCTGTCTGCCACCCCTAAAGCTCCCTCCTGCTGCTTCCCTTCACCTGCCTCCAAATTCAACCCAGAATGATAAATTTCAGTATGAGGAAGGTAACATGACAGACACAGACGGCTGCAGTGCCAGTTTAAAAAAAAAGAAAAACGGGGATCAGGGCGCGTCACGGGGGCCTCCTCATGTTCGAGGCCCTATGCAGTTGCGTAGTCAGCATATGCCTAAGAAAGGGCCTGGACAGCGACATCAGCTCTACAGCTCTGGTAATAAGGGGAACTTTTGATGTGATAGACATATCATCATTGCAACACCTAAAGCTATAAAATATTTCAACGACTTTGATAATCATTTATTAAGCATAACGTAGATTCAGCAACTTTATATGTCTACATTAACTATGACATAACTGAAGAAAAAATTTCCTGTAATCTGTATTTACCTGGTGTTACCTGAATCTGTTGTGAACGAATGATTTTTTAATAAAAGTCAATAGTTCCCCCTCTTAATATATTTTCGCAGAAATCTTTCCTTGTATTTAAGCTTTCCACACACTCTTTCATTTATTAAAATCGTTTGAAGCAATGACTTTATGTGTCACTAGCACAAATTGTTGTTCAGTGTTGAGATTTAGCCGGTTCCTATCGATTAGACAAAAATAAGACCTAATTTTGCTGAATTTTTCAGATTCAATTAGTGTTCTCATACCTTTGTGTCCGGACACAAACAAAAAATGAGTGAAACGTGAATGATTATTTTAAAACATTATATTTCTCCCTTTAAAGTTAATGTGTTAAAAGTATTTTATATACATTCGTATTAATTGTTATTTGATTCACAAATAGAAAATAATTAGAGGGAACTAAATATTTAATTATATATTTATTCATATCATTCAACTCGTTATACTTTTCTTGTTACTTCAGTAAAAAAAATAATATGAAAAAGCAATACCTTGATTGTTACAACCTATTTTTTGGTTTGCTCGCTGCTTAGCAAAAATAATTATAAATATCTTTTATGTCACTTTTTTTTCTGTAAATAGTTAAACTCCCTCTTAAGATAGCATCAACATTTGTGTAACAATGTATAATTTTATCTAAATTATAACATAATTTAATTGTGATTTTCATTACATAATTAAATAACTTTAAGTATATTAACCAAAATCTATGAAAACTTATAACTGGGTCTGTTGTCGAACGCTGTGCACGCAACATTCTAAAACAGAGATCCACGACGAATCACCATTGTCATTTCACTACGTGGCATATCCCTGAGACCTTTCAATAACGAGACATTTCACTAACCAGACATTTCACTAAGGAAGACACATTTTTTTCTTCAAACATACGTAATTATAAGTTGTTGAAATTTCAAAATAAAATCGGACCAAGCTTGACTAAAGGAGTTTGGGATACACGAAAAAAGAGAAATATATTGAATGTGTAAATTTGTGAAGTTATCAATGTTACTTTGAGTTAGATAAGTTTATATCCATTAAATATAATATTATCTTGAGTTAAATAAGTAATGAACCATCATATAGAACAAGGAGCACCCGAATGGTTTCTGTGTTATTGTGTGTGTGTGTAGTTACCATTTATTTGATAGAAACAAATAACTTTTTATAATAAGTTTACCACAACACAGAAGTGACATGCAAACAAATGCTTATTCAAAAAATAAACTTGTGTGCTTTTAACGCTGTTTATAGAACTGACTTTCAAATTGGTAAATATCTCCATATTGTACACAGTCCCATATAACATAGTTCAAGGCTGAGGCATAAAGTCAAGAGGCGCCACCCTGATTCTGGAACCAGAATTCAAATCCGGCTGTTAAGGCCCATGTTGTTCTCTCAACTGTTAAATAATGACGTAGTTGAGCAATGTTCCATCTTCATTTGAGTCACATGGTTCTTGTGCTGATGCTTCACGTTCCACCACGAAACAATCATTCTGCCCTAGATAAATCTGCAAGTTACAGTGAAGTTTTGTAAAAAAAAAATATTGGTGTGTTAGAATTATACCGAACTTTCTCTATATCATTAAACAGTACTTTGCTACCTACCTGTTTCGCCAAGGACTAAAAGACTGTATTTTGACAAGGTCCATTTGATTTAACCTCCTGAGTCCAGGCGTGCAGCCCACTGGACAATAGTTTTCTATGTCTTATTCTAATTTGGTAGCTAATTTTCGTTTGGATCCTCTTGTGCAGCCTGCTGGACACATTTTTACACTAGTTTCACCTACTTTTACGCAGAGATAGACAATACTTAATTTTAAGATGGCCGACAGAAGGGCAGTAGCTTCGTGTTCAGGGGGTGCTGGTAAGTTTTTTGCTATTATTTATTAGATTTAACCCAATCTAAAGATTTTAATGTTGTTTTAAGACAATTATATGTCAAAGAATACGAATATAATAGGATTTTTATTCATATATCATTATGTCGTAGTTTATTTCATCATTGAAAAAGGTGTTCAGTCTACTGGACACAGCACTCAAATCATAACAACAACACCGGTGATACGGTGACGACACACATAAGAATTACAGGCGTAGTCATAGTTCTATGTAATCGATGTAATTTTTAGCTGTGTTTAAATGGTATCATTGTTATCAAAGTAATTACTCATTTAGTTACACATATCGTAGTCAGTATTTAGTTAGATCTCTTATATATTCTTTAAATTTATTAATACATTTTTAAATAAAAAAATAATGAAAATTACCTAGTACCTAGGTTTACAGTTCACTAAACTTAGTACTAACTAACAATAGTTCTGTATCTCAAGTTGGAATATTTAATTTAGGCATTCTACAATATTAAGGCCTTATTTAGTTTGCTGAAATTTTAAGAAAATCCCTGATTTTGATAATTTATCATAAAAATGAATAATAATAAATATATTATTTTTATCATGCAAACTGATTTTTTTTTTTTTTTTTTACAGTTGTAGGCAATACTCAGAGAAAATACCACACAGAACAACAGTTGTATGTGATGTTTGAACAATCGTCAGATATCAGAGAAATATCCTCATCCTCTGATGAAATCGGTATAGATGACGACATTGATTACAATGAATCAAACTCTGAAAATGAATCATCTGAAGACGAAGAACCCTTGTCCAAAGACAACAAAAAAAGTGAAAGTCGCTCCCTCTGGCATAACCAATCTGATCCTGATTTGTCAGATGTTAATCTCAAAGTAAATGAATTTAGCTTACAAAAGATTCATTCACTTGCATTTGGTATGAAAGAGTTTGAAGCAGTTCCTGTTGGAAACCAAACACAAAAATGCTTTGCTAGTTGAACAGTGCACCCTGCATTTAGCTGAAGATCCTTATCTGCTACATCTTGAAAAAGAATTTGAATCACTATCTGGAATATCAGAGAGATGGGCAACTTGTTAATGAAAACCTGGATTGGGCACAGGGACTCTTTTTTTTTCCCTCTATATTTTTCAAAGGTGACGTCATCAAATGGAGGAGTGCTTTTTCAGACAGGCTTAGTTGCTCCATGTCTTCTCGGTCCCAGTATTGAAACTATGCATTTACAGTAGCTTGGTCCAACATATGGAATATTACTCTGATTGACCATTTGGAATTTATTGCTCAAGTAGCGTAATAGCCCCAACGTTTGGTCACACAAGTCCACACCTCCCATGTTGTGATTACATTGTTTTGTTAGAAATAGACACTGTTCCTCTATATATTTTTTGGTCCTTTTTTGACCATAGTAAACACTGTTTAGTTGGAGCCATCGATTCTGCAATATTTGGCACCCTATTTGAAGTTGTCCAGTACATTTATATTGAGGGATACATCAGGCAAGACATCTCCATGCTAATTCCAAGAATTGTTTTTATTTCTTCGGCTGTAACGGAAGAAATATGCAAATTGGTGAAAAGTCTGTGTCTGTGTACAATTGTTCATCAAAACATTGATGGAAATAATCAAAAGGTTCAACCCTGCAAGATTTGTGATTGGGTTTTATAATCAATTGTTTGTTATTTTTTTACGTATGGCAAAAAATGATTTGGATCCCGATGTCCAGTGGACTGCACATCAAATAAATCAAATATCAAAATCAATTTTTTTTTTTGTTTCAATGTTTTTTTAACATTTTAGCATCACTTATAGCACAATAAAATAGGTGTCAAGTTGATTTCACTC